CGCATGGTTAGGCCAGCGCGCATGGTTAGGCCAGCGCGCATGGTTAGGCCAGCGCGCATGGTTAGGCCAGCGCGCATGGTTAGGCCAGCGCGCATGGTTAGGCTAGCGCATGGTTAGGCCAGCGCGCATGGTTAGGCCAGCGCGCATGGTTAGGCCAGCGCGCATGGTTAGGCCAGCGCGCATGGTTAGGCCAGCGCGCATGGTTAGGCCAGCGCGCATGGTTAGGCCAGCGCGCATGGTTAGGCCAGCGCGCATGGTTAGGCCAGCGCGCATGGTTAGGCCAGCGCGCATGGTTAGGCCAGCGCGCATGGTTAGGCCAGCGCGCATGGTTAGGCCAGCGCGCATGGTTAGGCCAGCGCGCATGGTTAGGCCAGCGCGCATGGTTAGGCCAGCGCGCATGGTTAGGCCAGCGCGCATGGTTAGGCCAGCGCGCATGGTTAGGCCAGCGCGCATGGTTAGGCCAGCGCGCATGGTTAGGCCAGCGCGCATGGTTAGGCCAGCGCGCATGGTTAGGCCAGCGCGCATGGTTAGGCCAGCGCGCATGGTTAGGCCAGCGCGCATGGTTAGGCCAGCGCGCATGGTTAGGCCAGCGCGCATGGTTAGGCCAGCGCGCATGGTTAGGCCAGCGCGCATGGTTAGGCCAGCGCACGGTTAGGCCAACGCGCATGGTTAGGCCAGCGCGCATGGTTAGGCCAGCGCGCATGGTTAGGCCAGCGCGCATGGTTAGGCCAGCGCGCATGGTTAGGCCAGCGCGCATGGTTAGGCCAGCGCGCATGGTTAGGCCAGCGCGCATGGTTAGGCCAGCGCGCATGGTTAGGCCAGCGCACGGTTAGGCCAACGCGCATGGTTAGGCCAGCGCGCATGGTTAGGCCAGCGCGCATGGTTAGGCCAGCGCGCATGGTTAGGCCAGCGCGCATGGTTAGGCCGGCGCGTGGTTAGGCCAGCGCATGGTTAGGCCAGCGCGCATGGTTAGGCCAGCGCGCATGGTTAGGCCAACGCATGGTTAGGCCAGCGCGTATGGTTAGGCCAGTGCGCATGGTTATGCCAGCGCATGGTTAGGCCAGCGCGCATGGTTAGGCCAGCGCGCATGGTTAGGCCAGCGCGCATGGTTAGGCCAGCGCGCATGGTTAGGCCAGCGCGCATGGTTAGGCCAGCGCGCATGGTTAGGCCAGCGCGCATGGTTAGGCCAGCGCGCATGGTTAGGCCAGCGCGCATGGTTAGGCCAGCGCGCATGGTTAGGCTAGCGCATGGTTAGGCCAGCGCGCATGGTTAGGCCAGCGCGCATGGTTAGGCCAGCGCGCATGGTTAGGCCAGCGCGCATGGTTAGGCCAGCGCGCATGGTTAGGCCAGCGCGCATGGTTAGGCCGGCCCGTGGTTAGGCCAGCGCATGGTTAGGCCAGCGCGCATGGTTAGGCCAGCGCGCATGGTTAGGCCAGCGCGCATGGTTAGGCCAGCGCGCATGGTTAGGCCAGCGCGCATGGTTAGGCCAGCGCGCATGGTTAGGCCAGCGCGCATGGTTAGGCTAGCGCATGGTTAGGCCAGCGCGCATGGTTAGGCCAGCGCGCATGGTTAGGCCAGCGCGCATGGTTAGGCCAGCGCGCATGGTTAGGCCAGCGCGCATGGTTAGGCCAGCGCGCATGGTTAGGCCAGCGCGCATGGTTAGGCCAGCGCGCATGGTTAGGCCAGCGCGCATGGTTAGGCCAGCGCGCATGGTTAGGCCAGCGCGCATGGTTAGGCCAGCGCGCATGGTTAGGCCAGCGCGCATGGTTAGGCCAGCGCGCATGGTTAGGCCAGCGCGCATGGTTAGGCCAGCGCGCATGGTTAGGCCAGCGCGCATGGTTAGGCCAGCGCGCATGGTTAGGCCAGCGCGCATGGTTAGGCCAGCGCGCATGGTTAGGCCAGCGCGCATGGTTAGGCCAGCGCACGGTTAGGCCAACGCGCATGGTTAGGCCAGCGCGCATGGTTAGGCCAGCGCGCATGGTTAGGCCAGCGCGCATGGTTAGGCCAGCGCGCATGGTTATGACAGCGCATGGTTAGGCCAGCGCGCATGGTTAGGCCAGCGCGCATGGTTAGGCCAGCGCGCATGGTTAGGCCAGCGCACGGTTAGGCCAACGCGCATGGTTAGGCCAGCGCGCATGGTTAGGCCAGCGCGCATGGTTAGGCCAGCGCGCATGGTTAGGCCAGCGCGCATGGTTAGGCCGGCGCGTGGTTAGGCCAGCGCATGGTCAGGCCAGCGCGCATGGTTAGGCCAGCGCGCATGGTTAGGCCAGCGCGCATGGTTAGGCCAGCGCGCATGGTTAGGCCAGCGCGCATGGTTAGGCCAGCGCGCATGGTTAGGCCAGCGCGCATGGTTAGGCCAGCGCGCATGGTTAGGCCAGCGCGCATGGTTAGGCCAGCGCGCATGGTTAGGCCAGCGCGCATGGTTAGGCCGGCGCGTGGTTAGGCCAGCGCATGGTTAGGCCAGCGCGCATGGTTAGGCCAGCGCGCATGGTTAGGCCAACGCATGGTTAGGCCAGCGCGCATGGTTAGGCCAGCGCGCATGGTTAGGCCAGCGCGCATGGTTAGGCCAGCGCGCATGGTTAGGCCAGCGCATGGTCAGGCCAGCGCGCATGGTTAGGCCAGCGCGCATGGTTAGGCCAGCGCACGGTTAGGCCAACGCGCATGGTTAGGCCAGCGCGCATGGTTAGGCCAGCGCGCATGGTTAGGCCAGCGCGCATGGTTAGGCCAGCGCGCATGGTTAGGCCAGCGCGCATGGTTAGGCCAGCGCGCATGGTTAGGCCAGCGCGCATGGTTAGGCCAGCGCGCATGGTTAGGCCAGCGCGCATGGTTAGGCTAGCGCATGGTTAGGCCAGCGCATGGTTAGGCCAGCGCGCATGGTTAGGCCAGCGCGCATGGTTAGGCCAGCGCGCATGGTTAGGCCAGCGCGCATGGTTAGGCCAGCGCGCATGGTTAGGCCAGCGCGCATGGTTAGGCCAGCGCGCATGGTTAGGCCGGCCCGTGGTTAGGCCAGCGCATGGTTAGGCCAGCGCGCATGGTTAGGCCAGCGCGCATGGTTAGGCCAGCGCGCATGGTTAGGCCAGCGCGCATGGTTAGGCCAGCGCGCATGGTTAGGCCAGCGCGCATGGTTAGGCCAGCGCGCATGGTTAGGCCAGCGCGCATGGTTAGGCCAGCGCGCATGGTTAGGCCAGCGCGCATGGTTAGGCCAGCGCGCATGGTTAGGCCAGCGCGCATGGTTAGGCCAGCGCGCATGGTTGGTCCAGCGCGCATGGTTAGGCCAGCGCGCATGGTTAGGCCAGCGCGCATGGTTAGGCCAGCGCGCATGGTTAGGCCAGCGCGCATGGTTAGGCCAGCGCGCATGGTTAGGCCAGCGCGCATGGTTAGGCCAGCGCGCATGGTTAGGCCAGCGCGCATGGTTAGGCCAGCGCGCATGGTTAGGCCAGCGCGCATGGTTAGGCCAGCGCGCATGGTTAGGCCAGCGCGCATGGTTAGGCCAGCGCGCATGGTTAGGCCAGCGCGCATGGTTAGGCCAGCGCGCATGGTTAGGCCAGCGCGCATGGTTAGGCCAGCGCGCATGGTTAGGCCAGCGCGCATGGTTAGGCCAGCGCGCATGGTTAGGCCAGCGCGCATGGTTAGGCCAGCGCGCATGGTTAGGCCAGCGCGCATGGTTAGGCCAGCGCGCATGGTTAGGCCAGCGCGCATGGTTAGGCCAGCGCGCATGGTTAGGCCAGCGCGCATGGTTAGGCCAGCGCGCATGGTTAGGCCAGCGCGCATGGTTAGGCCAGCGCGCATGGTTAGGCCAGCGCGCATGGTTAGGCCAGCGCGCATGGTTAGGCCAGCGCGCATGGTTAGGCCAGCGCGCATGGTTAGGCGAGCGCATGGTTAGGCCAGCGCGCATGGTTAGGCCAGCGCGCATGGTTAGGCCAGCGCGCATGGTTAGGCCAGCGCGCATGGTTAGGCCAGCGCGCATGGTTAGGCCAGCGCGCATGGTTAGGCCAGCGCGCATGGTTAGGCCAGCGCGCATGGTTAGGCCAGCGCGCATGGTTAGGCCAGCGCGCATGGTTAGGCCAGCGCGCATGGTTAGGCCAGCGCGCATGGTTAGGCCAGCGCGCATGGTTAGGCCAGCGCGCATGGTTAGGCCAGCGCGCATGGTTGGTCCAGCGCGCATGGTTAGGCCAGCGCGCATGGTTAGGCCAGCGCGCATGGTTAGGCCAGCGCGCATGGTTAGGCCAGCGCGCATGGTTAGGCCAGCGCGCATGGTTAGGCCAGCGCGCATGGTTAGGCCAGCGCGCATGGTTAGGCCAGCGCGCATGGTTAGGCCAGCGCGCATGGTTAGGCCAGCGCGCATGGTTAGGCCAGCGCGCATGGTTAGGCCAGCGCGCATGGTTAGGCCAGCGCGCATGGTTAGGCCAGCGCGCATGGTTAGGCCAGCGCGCATGGTTAGGCCAGCGCGCATGGTTAGGCCAGCGCGCATGGTTAGGCCAGCGCGCATGGTTAGGCCAGCGCGCATGGTTAGGCCAGCGCGCATGGTTAGGCCAGCGCGCATGGTTAGGCCAGCGCGCATGGTTAGGCCAGCGCGCATGGTTAGGCCAGCGCGCATGGTTAGGCCAGCGCGCATGGTTAGGCCAGCGCGCATGGTTAGGCCAGCGCGCATGGTTAGGCCAGCGCGCATGGTTAGGCCAGCGCGCATGGTTAGGCCAGCGCGCATGGTTAGGCCAGCGCGCATGGTTAGGCCAGCGCGCATGGTTAGGCCAGCGCGCATGGTTAGGCCAGCGCGCATGGTTAGGCGAGCGCATGGTTAGGCCAGCGCGCATGGTTAGGCCAGCGCGCATGGTTAGGCCAGCGCGCATGGTTAGGCTCTGCCTGCCCTGTCCGGTCGAATCTTTCACCTTTGTTGGAACATCTGCGACACAGAACATCCTTTGTTCCAGCCCCACGCACTACTAATCTCAATTAACACCCCCATCCATCCCTCCAATTGGCGTTGCGTTGCTGGAGGGCAGGTGCTGTACAAGCAGAAGATACTGCTGTTTGGAGGATTCTATGACAACCTCCGGGACGTGCGGTGAGTCACATGCAGCTGCATGGTGAGGTGAGTCACATGCAGCTGCACGGAGGTGCAGTGAGTCCCGGTTGGCCGCACAGAGGTGAGGTGAGATGAGATGCACAGCCGGGGGTAATCAGGTCATGCCTCACGCCTGTACCCACTCTCGCACCACCCAAGGCGTTCCGTGGCTGAGGGCATGGCGCGAGGAGCAGCACTCAATCCGAGAACCTTCCACTGGATGGATGCTATAGAATTGAGGAGCCGTGCCTTTGGCGCCTTGACTTCACTCCATCACCCATCATCCACAGTTGCCGTCCGCCACAAGCCCAGCGCTGCGAATTGACACTCTGTGCATCCGTGCATGTGCACCACCCCAAGCAGCACCATGTGCCTCATGCGCCTTGCCTCATGTCCCCCTCACTTTCCTCCTGCACCTTCCCTCCCCCACTGGCAGCTATTTCAACGACCTGCATGTGTTGGACCTCAACGACATGAAGGCACGTGCATGCCCTTCCCCCCTCGCCTCCAGCTGCTCCTTCAACCCCTGTAGCGTTTGCTGTTAGATGGCCAGTGCGCTGCTTGCACCAGCCACGTGTGTTTCTGACAGCACCAGGTGCTCTATCTGTCCCGGTCTCTACAATTTGCAAGAATCCACACTTCGCAGCTCGCTTCCCTTCGTATTCATCACTCCATTTACTTGGTTGAGGCTAATCCGCCTGGCTAATTCGCTCCTCCTTCATGTCCCAACCGTTTCTCCCTACCCTCCCCTCCCACCTCCATGAACCATGCGCCTGTCTCAGTGGGCGGAGGTGAAGCCGAAGCCGGGGGCAGCGTGGCCGTCTCCCCGCAGTGCTTTCCAGTTTGCCGCCCACCAGGACGAGGTCAGCCACTCCCTGCCTGCCATGCAATGCGCCTGCTATCTGCGCAAACAAAGCTTACACGATGCCCTTCATGCCCGTGCACCTACGCAAGTGGCCGACTGTATCACATGAGCGCGCAACTATGGGAGCTCATCATGTGTGTGCCGTGCATGCTGCAGGTGTTCCTGTACGGGGGCTACTTCAAGGACCACGCCAGGGACGCGGATGGCAAGGACAAGGGCGTTGTGCTCTCCGACCTCTGGCTGCTCGACCCGCGCTCCTTCGAGTGGAACAAGGTGCGCTGGTAATGTGGAGCAAGGGGCGTTTGTTCCAAACAGATTGTGAGGCAAAAGAGCCTGGAATTGTGAAGCATCATCTGTTGTGTGAATGTTCTTAAGAAGCTCTTCCGCTGTGAGTGAAGAGCTTTGCTACGACACTCTCATCCGCCTCACCCCGCCTCCTCACCTTGCCCCCCTGTTTTGAGGCGCCTCAAAACTAAAGCGCCTGGAATTGTGAAGCATCACCTATCCTGAGCTTTGCAACGACACTCTCATGCGCCTCACCCCACGTCCTCACCTTGGCCCCCTGCGTCCAGGTGAAGCGGCTGGGGTCGCCACCGAGTGCGAGGGCGGGGTTCTCTCTGGCGGTGCACCGCACCCGTGCCATCCTCTTTGGGGGCGTCATCGACCGCGAGGAGAAAGGTCTGCCCGTCCTCCCCCGCCCCCTGCCATCTCCCCTCCGCTCACTCTCATCTGCACTCGCCCACTGTGCTCTCCTCCCCTGCCAAACCTCCCACAACTCCATTTCTCGTTGCCCTCACACCTGCTGCTCCTCCGCCTCTCCTCCCCCTCACCTTCACGGCGTGGTGTAGGGGGCGATGTGCTGCGCAGCACGTTCCTGGACGACCTGTTTGCCTTCCAGATGGACTCGCGCCGCTGGTTCCCCCTCCTCCTGCGCTCGCAGCAACAGGCCCGGGCAGCTGCCAGGAAGGCAGAGGTGAGCCAGCAGAGAGGGAGGCAGGGGTTAGAGGGCAGAGAGGGAGGTAGATGGGAGAGGGCAGGCAGAGTTCCACCAATATTCGCTCTTTGCCCCTCTCCACTACTCTTTGCCCCTCTCTACCCGGATTTTCCCCTCTCCTCTCCCTGTGGTCTCAGCCCACTTCAGGCAGTGCAAGCGGCACACAGGCAGATGGGGAGGAGGGGGAGGGCGAGAGTGACGAGGAGACAGAGGGGAGGAAGAGCAGGCAGGCAGGCAATGATGGTGAGAGCGAGGAGGAGGAGGAGGAGGAGGAGGTGAGTGGGCGAAGGAAACAGAGACTGAAGCGGAAGGAGAGGAAGGGGGCCAAGTCGAAAGCAGCAGCTGCTGCAGCTGCTGCAGCAGCAGGGACGCCGGTGGAGTGTGATGGAGGCGAGGAGGAGTGGGAGGGGTGGGAGGAGGAGGAGGAGGAGGAGGAGACACGAGATGGCAGAGGGGATGGGAGGGGGAGCGAGCAGGTGATTGGTGGCACTGCAGCAGAGGGGAGTGCAGCAGAAGGGAGTGCAGCACTGGGCGTGGAGGGATGGACAGGCATCAGGAATTGCGAGATGGGTGAGGCGGGAGGGGTGGATGCAAGCAGGCAGGGGGCGGCCGAGGCAGACGGGAGGGGCAGTGAGGGCGGGGAATTAGCAGCAGAGTGGCCAGGGGAAGGGAGTGCCGGTGAGGTGGAGGGCGGCTTGCAGAGTCTGAGCCTTGAGCATGGCAGCGAGGTGGGCGGTGTGGGCGATGAGGGCAGGCAGGGGGGTGCTGAGGGTACCCAAGGGAAAGAGGCAGATGAGGCAGGGGGGGATGAGACAGCGGGCGGTGGCGAGGCAGCCGGGGAAGGGAAGGAGAGGAAGGAGGGGGAGGGGGAGGAGGGCGGGAAGGCGGAGAGGGGAGAGGGGCCGTGCAGCCGCATGAATGCGGGGTTGGCGGTGGGCGGCAACACGCTGTACCTGTGGGGCGGCGCCAAGGAGGTGGGCGACCGCGAGGTGACTCTGGACGACCTCTTCTGCCTCAACCTCTCCAAGCTCGACCACTGGACCTGCCTCCACAAGGCGAGTGCCAGCAGCACCCAAAGCTGTGAGGGCAGTGTTCCGCTCATTTCCCTGAAGTTGGTGTTGCCTGCCGCAATACTTGTGCTGCTTTCACTGCTACCTGTGTTGCGACAAGGCTGTGAGGGCAATGGGAATTGCACAGGTCGTGATCATGAGCATGCGGCCTTGTTCAACCTTCATGTGGCCTTGTTCAACCTTCATGCGGCCTTGTTCAACCTTCATGCGGCCTTGTTCAACCTTCATGCGGCCTTGTTCAACCTTCATGCGGCCTTGTTCAACCTTCATGCGGCCTTGTTCAACCTTCATGCGGCCTTGTTCAACCTTCATGTGTGCATGTTCATGTTTCTATGGTTGCCCTGCCTGTTGCTGTGTGCACGCCGTGTCACGATTACCGCCCACATGTGTGTTGGCATCACGTGCAGGGGTCAGAGAGCACATGGGTGGAGGTGGAGGAGGAGGAGGAGGACGATGAGGAGAGTGGCGACGAGGAGAGTGGGGAGGAAGAGGAGGAGGACGAGGATGAGTCGAGCGACGACGAGGCTTCAGCCAAGGTTTGCCCTTCTCATTCATCTGCTGCATGCTTATGACCGCCTCTAGAACTCATGGCTGGAGTTCCAATGCTGTCTCACCTTTACCAAGTTCGCATGCACCGCCAACACAGCGTCTCTCAACACAGCATGCGCCACGCTCCCCACCATCCAACCGCCAGGGCACGGGCGGCGCCGCCACAGCATCGGAGCTGGCAGCGGCGCTCCTCAGGGGCGAGGCTCCTGCGGGCGGCAAGCGCCAGCTGTCGCGCAAGGAGAGGCGGGCGGAGATTGACCGGATTCGGGCTGATCTGGGGCTGGCGGACACGGCGAGGACGCCCATTGTGAGTCGCGGGGCGCAGGACTCCGTTTATGCACCTTGCACCACCTCAATCCTGTGTTGCTGGACATCTGTCTTTGCATTGCTTACTGACTTGAGCTGCCAAGTGCCCCTCCCTTTGTGTGTGTGTGTGTGTGTGTGTGTGTGTGTGTGTATGTGTGTATGTGTGTGTGTGTGTGCGTGTGTGTGTGTGCGTGTGTGTGTGTGTGCGTGTGTGTGTGCGTGTGTGTGTGTGTGTGTGTGTGTATGTGTGTGTGTGTGTGTGTGTGTGTGTGTGTGTGTGTGTGCGTGCGCGCGCGCGTGTGCCTGTGTGTGGACCATACTTGTGCGGCTGGCAGCCTGGCGAGTCGTTGAGGGACTTCTTTGCGCGCACGGGCGAGCACTGGCAGCGCGAGGCATACCAACACACCCAGCGCACCGGCAAGGTGCGTCACCGTCGCGGCTTGGCCAACTCACTGGTGTGTGCCAGATATGGGGTGGACGGGGCTCATGAATCAGGCGAATGCATGCTGAACCGGAAGCGAGTGTGTGTGGTGCTAGCCACCCAAATCCCGTCTTCCATGCTCTGATACGCCAGCCAGTGCCTGCACTTTGCCTGGGCCTGAGCAGAGGGTGTGCACATGAGGTGCGCCCCATGGGGTTGATTGTGTTCCTCGTCCTCCTGCCCCCCTCCCCTTCCCCTCCCCCCCCTCCTCCCCTCTCCCCCCATGCCCCAGGAGCTGCGCAAGGATGGCTTTGAGCTCTGTGAGGCGCGCTACCGCGACCTGCTGCCCGTCCTCACTGAGGTCTGTCCCTGGGCCCTCCTCCCGTGTCATAGTTGAATGAACCCTGCCAGTAATGCCGTTATGATGCACTCCATTCTGTATGCACGTGTGAATCTTACTTCGTCCTCTCTTTACTTGCCTTGCAGCTTGAGATGCTGGAGGCGGAGCAGAAGGCAGAGGAGGAAGCAGAAGCTGCGTTCAACAAGAGCAAGGGGAAGAAGGAGAAAGGCAGGCCAGCAGCACGCAGATGACAGACATGGGTGAATGCATCAAATTGTCATGAATTACTAGACTATTGGTTCTGCATGAGATGAAACTACACCTTTCGGGTATATATTAAAATAACCAATGGTACATGACAATGAGGTAGCACCTGTCGAGCTTAGTAACACCGTATGTGCCAAAGCCATCAGGGAACACCCCCACAAGGTAAGACCATACGAGCTGATCTACCGTGTATGGTACAACTAAGGGTATATGATACAGGGTGGGTCCCTCATACAGGAGCAGGCATCAGGAGCAGCATGGGCCACATGCCCTTGAGCGAGTGGTGTACGCCCCAGAGGCCATGGCGTGCAGCACGGCCGGTGATGGGACGGCATAGAGTGGCAGCACATGGCGGCTGAGGCAGCAGAGGTGCAGCACGTTGCGACAGGCGCCCTGGCTGAAGGGATGCACGTCCCCGGGTACTGACCTGCAGCACGCAGCAGCAGGCAGCGATGGATGGGGAGTGCGCACTCAGTGATGCGTGGGCGGACAGGAATGTGCCTGGCATGTAAACGCATGTGCCTGGCATGTGAACGCATGTGCCTGGTATGTGAAGGCATGTGCATGGCATGTGAACGCATGTGCCTGGTATGTGAAGGCATGTGCATGGCATGTGAACTCATGTGCCTGGCATGTGAACGCATGTGCATGGCATGTGAACGCATGTGCCTGGTATGTGAAGGCATGTGCATGGCATGTGAACTCATGTGCCTGGTATGTCAATGCATGTGCATGGCATGTCAATGACTGTGCCTGGGATGGCATGCACAACGCACCGCAGATAGGAGATGCGATGCTTCCTGGTGGCTTCATATGTTGTCTGCGCCGTGAGAATGAGATGCCTGCATGGCAAAGCACGGCATGGCATGGCGTAACATGGCATCGCATGGCATAGCATGGTGAGACACGCATTCAGCCACAGTGAGGGGAGAATCGTTTAGACATGAAACATGAGGCACGCAGATCAAGACTTACGTGTGGCAGAGGGGCTTGACTCACGAGTGGCAGAGGGACTCACGAGTGGCAGAGGGACTCACGAGTGGCAGAGGGACTCACGAGTGGCAGAGGGACTCACGAGTGGCATAGGGACTCACGAGTGGCAGAGGGACTCACGAGTGGCAGAGGGACTCACGAGTGGCAGAGGGACTCACGAGTGGCAGAGTTTCTCACCAGTGGCCGAGGGAGTTGACTCACGTATGGAAGCACACGAGGATGGCAAGGAACACGGCCAGCGGCAGCAGCAGCGCGGTGAATGCCAGCGCTGACAGCTGGTGCTCCAGCCTGGTGCCTCAATGGGTAGCGGGATGGACAGTAGAGGGGGGCACGGAAGGCCGCACAGGAATGGTGATGGGGGAGGGCACACGGAAGCAGGAGGTGAGAGGTGGGTGGCATGTCGTGGACGGGGCGAGGTGGATATGAGGGCAGGTGAGGCAGGGATGGGGCGAGGAGGGACGGACCAGTGGTTGGGTGAGACGGGCGCGGTGAAGGCGGAGAGGCAGATGAGCAGCGACCAGCACGTGAGGCAGCACTCCAGCACCAGATACACCCTGCTCCACACCGCCATGCCATGCCGTGCCGCGCCATGCCGTGCCATGCCGTGCCATGCCGTGCCATGCCATGCCATGCCGTGCCATGCCGTGCCATGCCGTGCCATGCCATGCCATGCCGTGCCATGCCGTGCCATGCCGTGCCATGCCATGCCATGCCGTGCCATGCCATGCCATGCCGTGCCATGCCGTGCCATGCCGTGCCATGCCATGCCATGCCGTGCCATGCCATGCCATGCCGTGCCATGCCGTGCCATGCCGTGCCATGCCGTGCCATGCCGTGCCATGCCGTGCCATGCCGTGCCAGGGGGTGGTAAGAGGGAATGGTGTGGGAGTGGGAGGAGGGTGGTGGGTGGACGAGGGGACACACGCAATTGAGCAATTGGTTGCGGGTGGAAGTGGTTGAAGTCCGTTAGGTGGGGAGAGCCATCACAGCCTGATAGCTTAACCTCATACACATCAGAAACAGGTAGCAGAGGGGAGCGTGGTTACCAGAAGCGGGCGTGGTTGCGGAGGCCGATGCAGGTGGAGACCCAGAAGCAGTGGTGGTCGAAGCGCAGCACACAGCGGCCGCAGTCGTAGCAGTGCTTGGCGCGCACTGGCTGCTGCACCCGGCAGTATGGGCACCACCGCCGCGCACTGCTGGAGGCATGGGGAAGGGGGGCGGGGAGGGGGGAGGGAGTTCAGATGGGCAGTACGATAGCATGGCAGGAGAGAGTGTGGGAAGCTGATGTGGAGAGATGGCGGATTGCAAGAAATGCAGCACAGGAGGCATGAGAGAGACTGCACGGTGCATTTGTGAGGGAGGGAGTGGTGGGGTGACCTGAATTGGGTGACGAGGAAGTTTGACTGCGCTGCTGTGAGTCGAGATGGCTGTGCTGGCAGGGGCAGCAGCAACAACCTCGCCTCTCCTTCCCTCCCTTCAACCCCCCCTCCCTCCCCCTCTTCTCCCCCCTCTCCCTTATTCCCCACCCTCGCAGCACCCCACGCCCGTGCCCCACAGCAACTGCGTCCCTCCCCCTCCCCCTCCCCCTCTCCCTCTCCCGCCTCCGCCCCTCTTTCCACGTCATCGCACGGTGCATCTGCCCCATCGCCACACCACCGGCACCCCCTGTCCCCGCACCACCTGCACCCCACGTGCCCGCACCACCGGCAGCCTGGCAGGCAGGGGGCGAGCAGGGCTGAGGGACCAAGCGGGCGTGCGGCGCTGTGAACACGTGGAGGGGGTTGGCAGAGCAGACCAGACTCCCCCCTGCCCCCTTCACCCGCTTCCCCAACGGCCCCTTTCCCCCTGGGAGGGGGCAGGGGCACTATGGCACAGGATGGGGAGGACTGGCGCACAGCCTGAGTCCGCGGTGAAGAGGGGTGGGGAGAGGCGAGGAGAGGAGTGAGGAGGCCTGGGAGGTCAGCAGACTCGCCTGCTGCTGCCCTGCTGGCGTGTGACAGGCGGAGGGCGTCAGAGGCAGAGGGCGAGGGCGAGGGTGCGGGCGAGGGAGAGGGAGAGGGCGAGGGAGAGGGTGGGACGGCATGTGGGAGGGAGGAGGCGGGTGGATTGGACCACCTCGAGGCGGTGAGAGATGAATGGGATGAGTGCGATGGTTGGGATGGTTGGGATGGATGGGAGGAGGGGGACGCAGCAATGGAGGCGTCATCCCTACTCGTCTCATCCGTGACCCCATCCAGCAACGCACTCTCATCCCCTTTGCCGCCCACCACCCCATCCACTGCCCCCTCGCACTGCTCCTCCTCTGCCTCACGAACCCCATCCTCTGTGCCACCGTTCACTGCAACCTCCCCTGCTCCCTGTGCTGCTGCTGCTGCTGTTGTTGCTGCTGCCATGGCTGGTGCCACTGGCACTGCCACTGCTGCTGCAGCTGCGGTTGAGTTGGCGGGTGAAGCTGCTCGTCCTGCCTGTGGCGGTGCTGGCGCTGCCTCTGCTCGCGGAAGAGACACCGTTGGAGGGGGGGACGCTGGGGATGGCGGTGGCACGGCGTGTGTGGCAGCGTGGCGTGCATTGGCTGCTGCCACGGCTGTCTGCAGGCTTTCAGCCACATCCTGCACGTACCTGCCGCCCAGAGAGCATGCACACCACTTGCATGTCATTCATACAATAACATGCCATTCACACATTGGCGTGGCATACACATGCCACTCGCATACCATTCACATGCTATGCACAACTCTCTCAGATGAATTCACATGGCATTCATACGCCATTCATATGCCATGCACGAGCAATGTGACAGGAGAGGAACACGGAGGAACAGGAGAGGACGCACATGCAATGGGGTCGTGCACGGGGCTTGGATCATGCACGAAGAGCAGAGCAGAGCGGAGCAGGGCAGGGGAGAGCGCACGCACCCAGGCGAGGAGCCCGAGGTGTAGAGGTACTGCAGCAGCGTGGCGAGGAAGAGCACCCCGTAGCACACCGCTTCCGCCCTGCGCAGTGCAGCAGGGCAAGACGGGGGATGGCGGGAGGGTGTGGGAAGAGAGAAGGTGAATTGGGTGAGGGAGGACGATGAGACGATGCGAGTTGCATTCCGGAAAGTCACACACCTGCATAGTAAACGACCACACTCTGGTTACCACCACTTACCCACATGAAAGCTACCACATGCCAGCTGCAGTGGTTACCTACCAGCTGCAGTGGTTACCATATAATCTGCTGTGTTGACCACACACACACCAGATGCTATGGATACTAACACACCACGTTTCACACCTGATGGTTACCACGCACGCACCCCACGGGCTGCTGCACAAGGGCCTGCGCGAGCGACGTGTTGAGCAGCAGCAGCGCCGCCGGCACCACCACGTGCAGCACCGCCCACCCCACGCGCGCACTCGCTGCCGTCTGCTGCGCTGCTCGCGCACGCCGCGAGGGGCAAGACAGGCAGGGTGGAGCGCAGCGCGGGGGAGAGAAGCAGGGAGAGGGGAACGCAGCGGGGGTGGGGCAAGGCAGGGAGAGGGGAGCGCAGCGGTGGGGAAGAAAGTAGAGAGGGGGAGCGGGGTCGGATGGCGGATAGGAGGTGGGCCGTGGCGGCAAGCCAGCGGCCACGCGCCGCTTCCAGCGCGTGGAGGCAGCCGCGTCGGCAGAAATGAGTCAAGAACGAGCGATCCGGGGCGATCTTAGCAGCAGGACGAAGCAGGTTGGAGGGACGTAACGATGTGATTCGCAATCCAGTGTTGGCGTGGATCGGATACGCATTTCCTACACACCCATTCCCACGCGCACCTTCCACCACCCTCGCTCGCAGCACGTCGTCTCGAATCTCGGGAGTGGGCAGGTCGCTCGACGACCCTCGCTCGTTCGGGCTCGGCACCCACGGCAGCACCAGGTTCGGCAGCCGCGCCATGCGAGCCAGCGCCGCGCAAAGATTAGCCTGATAAGGCCGCGGAATGTTTATGCGGACAGTGGCGGGAACATGGACGACGCCGCGTGCGCGATGGTGCTATCAGTGTTTGCCGCTGTCCTTGTACTAAGAAGTGGTAAGGCTGACGGGATTCGAGTACCCGCCACAATTTTTTGTTGCCAGTATGCACAGGTGCAGCAAAACGAAACTACACCCGATCTTGACGAGGACACTTCGTACACTCTAAACAAATGATCCTATAGAACATAACACTTTGGTCTTTCACTGTACACGTCGAATATCTGCCAAGCACAGTAAGAAACTGCCTGCTCCGGGGGTGTTACATTTGTGCCAGAACGCAACTGGTCCGTAGCGGCCCAGCCCAACCCCGCGCGGCCCAGCGAGTCCCAGCCTTGGACCAACAACGGACCAGCGCTCTCTTTGACGGCTAAAATACCCTGATTACCCTCGCCATGCGCCGCGTTTTGGAAGTTGGCATGATTCTTCAAGTGCATTTGATTTGTTACCCATGGTGAAGAAAATGTAGTTTTGTTTTTTGTCAAAACTAGGAGCTTAGCTTAGGAACCATACTTGGGCTTAGGAACAAGACTTAGGAGATGGTATCGAGAGGTTTTGGCAAAAGGAAGGGATTGCACTAGAAAGAGTGGTACAAGATATAGGCAAGGCAAAGGGTACACCACCAGCAGTTGATATAACTAACCTAATACACTAGTAAGCTGTAGGCAGGTATAAGATATGCAATATAAATTAACACACCCCCGTAACTGCCTACGGCTATAGCTAGTGGTGTCTGGTAGCAGGTCGCCTGAAGAGCAGTTGCTGTAGCTGGGATACGCACAGAAACAGCGATAGCTGATCGGCGGCACCTCTGACTGCCAGAACGGAGGGCGGAGGGCTAATTTGGAGGGCGTAGGCTGCCGGTGTTACACACCAACGGTTGGATAGGAGGAGGAAGCCGGTGGTGTACATGAGGCGGATGAGAGGAGGAAAGGAGTGCAGAACAGTAAGTGCAGCGGAAGGAGGAGGAGAAGGGGGGGGGGCGGCTGCCTTCAAATACCAGCCACCCCCACACCCTCTTCCTCTTCCCCCCCCCCCCCCCCCCCCAACCCCAAATGCGACACGCATTGCAGATGCACGGGCCGGGCAGCGATGAGGAGGAGGAGTGGGGAGGGGCGGGAGGGTTTAAGGGGGCTTAAGCACCCCCGTAGCCACGGGCGCGGGCCCTGCCACCTCCTCCCCGCAACATCCACCGGAGAATAGAGCGGCGGCAAATGCAGAGGCGGGGAGCGGGGTGGGGATGGCGAGGGCGCTGGCGCATTTCGCTGGCGCTGGCGCTCGCGACAGGCGCTGGCACTGGCGCACGTCTCTGGCGCTCGTGCTGGCGTCCGCGGCGGTCGGAGGCGCTGGTGCTGGCGTCCGCGACCAGCGGCGGGGCGACGCGACAGCGCGCGGGACGGGGCGACCAGCGCATGGGGCGGGTAGCGCGGGGCGAGCCGCGCGGGGCAGGCAACGGGCGAGCGCCTCGAAGGGCGCTGCGATGGTCGCCATGGCAACGATGGCAGCCATGGCGAATGAAAAATAACAAGGTCCTTGGAAGGACCGAGCTCTTAATACCATGTCAAAACTAGGAGCTTAGCTTAGGAATCATACTTGGGCTTAGGAACAAGACTTAGGAGACGGTATCGAAAGGTTTTGGCAAAAGGAAGGGGTTGCACTAGAAAGAGTGGTACAAGATATAGGCAAGGCAAAGGGTACACCACCAGCAGTTGATATAACTAACCTAATACACTAGTAAGCTGTAGGCAGGTATAAGATATGCAATATAAATTAACATTTATTTCCCTGAATGGATCAGAGTCTCTGTATGTCTACCCTGATACCGAAACTCCCACACACAACCGTCACCTGATCAAAATACACGGAAAATTCCCGTCCGTATCAAAACACTTTCGGTATTTAGCACGGACGCGAGCTTGCTCGGCTGTCGTTTACTGCAACAAGAACTGACACAGTGCCACTCACCCTGCTTGCAAAATACAACACATCCTTGCAGTTCAGAGCCAAAAGCAGGAGAGGGTTGCTGCTGAGGGCATAAGGACCCTGGACGTACCATGCCATTCACGTCTAGGGCCTCTTGCACGGGCAAGGGTTGCAGCACAACCTCCCAGTCTCGGCTGCAGTCAATTTGTTCCCTGCAGAATAACATGTTTGCATCGCTATAATCCCCCAAATATAGGATCCGGGGGGCTTTTTACGGGAGATCCGGTATCAAGTAAAAGTGTCTGATTTAAGGCACTGAAGACAACTAAGCGCTGTGAGGTGGTGCTTGTGTGTGATGTGCTCCTGTGCACGCGTGAGTGTCTTAGGCAGCACTGCAAAGGTGTGTGGCATTGGTAGCTGCGGCAGGGCAAGGTGGTGTGATGTGTGTAGAGGACGAAGTGAATCCACCACCTCCCATGTAAAGCCTCATAGGGGCCTAGGCACGGGCAAGAGCTGGGAAACACGACCAGCATTATTGGCAGGACGATGGAGAGCTGGCGGGGAGAAGAGAACGCACAAGGACGAACGAGAAAGGTTGGATAAGGGGGTGGAGTAGGTACGTGCATGTACATGGGCAGTGCGCAGTGCGGTTGCGCGAGTGCAGTGGTAGTGGTTGAAGCATGACAGGAGCAGGCGAGGAGGGTGGCGCTGTGCGGCGCGCACATGGGGCTCAGCATCGGGCAGCACAGCCATCCTCCTGCGCTGCTGCTGCCTCCATCTCTCCCCATCTCCGCCTCCATGCCCTCCACCTCTCCTGCCTGTTGAGAATACTAGCCACGAATGAATGCATTGAATGAGAGTTGGGTACAAGTATCAAACCCTAAAGGGGTTGTACCCCATATTGGCTACCCCACTACAACCTACACAAATACAGCATGCATATAGTTTGACACACCCCCATAGGCAAAGTGGGGGAGAACAAGGGGTCACAAGACCAGTCAAGAAAAGCAAAGCAAGCTCAGGGTGGATCACAACGTCACCACACACACTGAGCACAAGTAAAGGGCCACAAGGCCAGTTCACATGCAGAGACATATATGCAACAACAACAGTACAGTGATCACTACCTAGCAAGAACAAGCATGCAGGTATATATATATGGATCACAGTACAAGCAGAGTCTACAGCAAGTGTGGAAACGTAGGCACAAGGCCCAACAAAGTACAAAAGCGCTGATGGTCACCAGACGGAAGTGCCTTGGTGAATATATCAGCAGTGTTGGCCTGAGTGGCCACGTGAGCAAGACGAAGCTGACCACGCTGCTGCAACTCTCGAGCCAGGAAGTAACGCAGAGCGATGTGCTTCGTTCTGTGCTCCAGTCTGTGGTCCTCACACAAGGCAATGGCCGCCTTGTTGTCAACGTACAGAACTGGAGGAGAACGAGGCCGCTCTCCCAAGTCAGTCAGCAGGTAGGTGAGCCAGCGTAACTCCTGTGCAGCCATGGCTGTGGCGTAGATCTCAGCCTCACAACTGGAGCCGAGAACAGAAGACGAGCGTGTAGACCGCCAAGAAACAGAGCCAGAGCCAAGACTGAAGGTGTAACCCTGTGACGACCGCTGTGTAGCCTGGTCGTCAACCCAAGACGCGTCAGAGTGTCCAGATCTCCTCGTGCAGGCTGCCCTGTAAAAAAGTTGTGCTGAAGTCAAGAGAGTGAAGCTCGTAGTCACGCTGAGCGGCAACGTGCAGCAGCACCCGAAGAGTGGTCATCTTCGGGGTGGGGGAGAAGGTCTGGAAGAAGTCAACTCCCTCTCGCTGACTGAAGCCTCGAGCAACGTAGCGAGCCTTGAAGACAGGCGGAGAATCCGGCCGCCGCTTCACCCTGAAAATCCACATGCCATCGACGATGTTCGCCCCGGGAGGGGGAACCTCATCGACGTAAGTGCCTGTGGATTTCCAGGATGCCATCTCTGCGTCCATGGGTGTCTGCCACTGAGAGGAGTAGGGACCCGCGATCGCCTCAGCGTAAGAGCGCGGAGTATGGATGTCTGGTGCATCCAGGTCTCCCTCAGGGGCAAGCAGCATGGCCACGAGATGAGGCGCAGCGGCCGCAAGACACTCAAGGTCCTCCTGTCTGTCCTCAAGGACGTCCGTGCCAAGAGCACACTCACCCCCGACGGGCGGAGGACAGACAGACTCAGACTCAGCAACAAGACGAGCGGCGTAGTCTAGACGACAGGCAGCAGCAAAGTCAACAAGCTCAGCGACCAAGGCAGACGCAGCAGCAGACTCAAACGACGGGTCAATGACAACAGTGGCTAGCAGACGCGTGACAGTAGGGTGCTCAGCACGAAATCGGTCAGACTCAGGGTCCGCAACGTCAGGCAGAGAGGACGCAGGGGGAGACGGCAGAGGAACACGCTGTGGAGCAGAGGAAGGACGAAGGGCTAAGAGGGGCGAACAGGACGACCAAGCGACCAGGCGACGGACGCGGACGAGGAACACGACGACCAGTTTGACCAGGACGAACAGGCGAGACAGGACGCGACGCAGGCTCACGACGCTCAGCAAGACCCCCTGGCTGCTCAGTGTAAGGAGAAGGAGCAGGCAGCGGTGAGCAAGGCTGTAACGGAAGACCAGTAGAAGACGGGAGGCTAAGAACCTGGCGAAGCACAGAGTCAGGCGGTGGCGGAGACGACGGAGACGGCGGAGCGAAGAACAGTCTCGGGTGTGCCGTGCCACCAGCACCAGCAGCTCCAGCAGCTCCAGCAGCTCCAGCACCTTTAGTAGCTCCAGAACCTCCAGCGCCAGCTCCTCCAGGACCAGCTCCACCAGCAGCAGCACCCCCAGAACCGACACCTCCATTCTCAGGGTCTCTAGCCGCAGCGTCCCCAGCAGCAGTACCCCCGAAACCGGCACCTCCAGTCCCAGGGTCTCCAGCCTCAGTGTCTCCAGCAGCAGCACCCCCAGAACCGGTACCTCCAGTCCCAGGGTCTCCAGCCTCA